GCATCGCCACCACTTTCCTCACATTACCTCTTCATCACAATCGATTCCTTCTTCTCCTCGTTTTCTCTATTAATCGGAAAATGGCATCACTTTCCCTCAACAAGAATACACGAACTATGTTTTTATGTTAGGACAAATTCACATGCATCACCACCACTTTCTTCACATTATCTCTTCGTCCCAATCGATTCCTTCTTGTCCTCGCTTCTTCTGTTAATCCGAAAGTGGCGCCACTTTCCCTCCACGAGAATACACGAACTATTACTTGCTAGAACAAAGTCACATGCATCGCCACCATTTTCGTCACATTATCTCTTCGTCCCAATCGATTCCTTCTTCTCCTCGTTTCTTCTATTAATCAGAAAGTGGCGTTACTTTCCCTCGACGACAATACACGAACTACCACTTGCTAGAACAAAGTCACATGCATCGCCACCATTTTCGTCACATTATCTCTTCGTCCCAATCGATTCCTTCTTCTCCTTGCTTCTTCTGTTGATCGGAAAGTAGCGTCATTTTCCCTCCACGAGAATACACGAACTACCACTTGCTGGTAGGACAAATTTACATGCATCGCCACCACTTTCCTCACATTACCTCTTCGTCACAATCGATTCCTTCTTCTACTCGCTGCTTATATTAATCGGAAAATCGCGTCACTTTCCATCGACGAGAATACACGAACTATGTTTTTATGAGGCAAATTCATATGCATCGCCACCACTTTCCTCACATTACCTCTTCGTCACAATCGATTCCTTCTTCTCCTCGCTTCTTCTATTAATCGGAAAATGGCGTTACTTTCCCTCCAGGAGAATACACGAACTACCACTTGCTAGAACAAATTCACATGCATCACCAGCGGTTTCGTCACATTATCTCTTCGTAACAACCAATTCCTTCTTGTCCTCGCTTCTTCTGTTAATCAGAAAGTGGCGTCACTTGCCGTGTGTTACCGTAAGCGGACTTTTGAATGATGTTGTCGTGTATGAGTCGAGTAGTCGGATGAAATGTGGGATTGGTTTCCCGTATGTCTATGTAGATACAGTTGGTCACGGTGGAAATACTTTCACTGGCGATATAGATTTTATGGTTAAGGAAATTGAGGTATATAAATTGAATGAGGGGATGTGAACAGCCGTTTAATGCGCAGTTTGGCCGTTTGGTGTTTAGGAAGGTTTCCGGGGTGGAGATTTGTGCTGTAGTATGCTGTGCTGGCACTGTGAGCTATATGCAGAACTGTTGTCGCAGCTTGTGGTAGGTCCATATATCTAGTGTCGACAGAATTAATGCGGCGTTTTATGTAAATATTTTAAATCGAATTTGATTGGCCGAAAACGAAAAGTGCTTTCGAAAACTATGGCATATGTCAGCATGGGAAACGTCAGAAAATCTGAAATGTGCGATTCATGAAGAATTTTATTTCTATAACTGAATGAGATACTCTTCAGATAAACATAAATCTTTTGGTATTAAGACGTTTTTTGAGAAACAAAATGTCCCTTAGTTGGTTAGTAGTAGAGATAGCACACGCACTCAGAACGGTATTCAAGCAAGAAGAATAGACGTGTTGGTGTGCTAGGACGATGCTGGACAGCATAGGACTTCGACCACATGCTTTCGAAAGAAGGGGCTATTATCATCAACGATCCGACGTTTCGGCGCCACTTCTTCCGGCAGGAAAGCAGATTCGTCAGAGTACTAGTGCATCGATTTCTTTTCTCGTAGCTTTTAAATCGTTAATTTCGAAGAAAAAGTGTTAGCTACCAGAATGATGCTGATGAGCATAAACAAGCATAAATCTTTTGATATTAATGTGTTTTTTGAAAAACAAAATGTCCTACAATTAATGAATAGTAGAGACAACACATGCATCCTGAACGGTTTTCTTCAGTCATTTTAGAGCTAAAAACGTTTTCGTTCGTTATAGCGGTAACTAAAAAGCGAGTTATAGTTATTTAACCAACTTAAAGCGCATGTAGCATAGTGCCCTTTTTTAATTTCAATGACTTCAACCTCTGAACACCAGCATGCGGACTCAGAGAACAGACAACAAATACCAGTTTGTGTGCATTTACTTTTCAAGTAGGGAGGCGACAGTTCCAATTCTCGGAATTCTGACAGCTGATGAAAACAATTGTCATCAGAGCTTGTCAAAACAATGAAACTAATCAAAGTTATTCTCGACATATCGGTCCTGTTCTACCACAATGTACTTCAAATTGGAAGTTGCATTGTGGCAGTCATAGGGTGCCTAAGAGTAGAACTCGACACTTGAGGCTCGAGTCTTGGGTGCGGAGTTCTTGTTAGATCTGATCAGAACTTCAGGAAAGGAGACCCTGATCTCATTAGGAGAAGAGAGGTCCTATGAGCGCAGGAGGACAGAAGAAGAAGAAAATATTTCTGATTATCTAATTAAGTTAACTAGTCACGACTGGACGTGGCTCCGCTAATCGATAATTTGTAGAACTACAAATAATCTAATGCATACAAAGATTGCAAAAGCAATTGTCAGCGTTAAAGATGCAAGAGACTGTAAGCAACTGAAAAAGGCCGAGCCGGACTCGGACTTCCACTTTTTGTCCTTGGGTCAGACCGTAAAATTTGTAAGACCATTTGGGCCGGTCTTGGGTTTCACACTTTCGCCGATATGTCGACCGAGTCGGGCTAGAAATTTAGGCTCATGCCGATCTCTGATGCCGATAGCCAGGGAAGGTGGAGGGGCAGGATATAGTGGATATCTTCCCCTAAAATGCTAATCATAGGTTTCTAGAAGTTCGTCATAGGATACACTCTATAGTATCATATGATATCTGTGCGCACCTATACAGTTAGCGTTTCTCTTTTATATTTCAAATGCATGTACAATAGCAGGAGTTTTATAGATTCAGTAGCAATAGGATGTTGAATTTTTTTTCAAAAGTGTACAGCAAATATAGTTCTTTATAAAGGGGTGCGTTTTTTTTTATTTAGTGGAGTACTCGATACTCCTTGAAGGGGTTGGTCATCCGAAGGAGTCTCCTTCGGACGAGGAGAGGGAATTTTTTAAGTGGGCTCTAGTTCTGTAGAAAACCGCGTCTGTCTGGAACACCTCTGATGGTATTTCAAGGTTTTAGAGGTTTCAACGCTTCCCAAAATTAAAGAAAAAAAGAATAAAAAAATCCCTTCCCCTCATCCGAAGGGGTAAACAGTTCTCCTTCAAATAAAACAACTCCGGGTTCTCCACCTTGAAATATAGTGAAAAAGAATTTGCATGGGCAGAGGACTCAATTTGAGCCTTAAGGAAAATATCAACTATTGTACATTTTTCTTACAAATGAAGCAAAACTTTCTGATCAACATTGCCTGATCTTTCATTTTCTCGCTCTCGTCTCACATTAACGAGCTGGTCAGTTGATTCTGTTCGATTATAACTAGTCTGTATAACTACTTACTTTTCCTCAAATACACACACATGGTGCGTAAGCTCACGACATTATAACGATCAACAACTATTTTTTCTGAACATTCACTTTGCTTACATCGCTTTTTGCACCAACTGTTCTCGATATCGATTAATTGTAATTGATCCGTCAAAAACGAGTTAAATCTGTCTGATGAGGGAACTATCCCAGGTGTTAATAACAGATGCTAACGAGAGGTACCCCAATCGACAGAGCTCGACGAGCTGCTTCTAGTGGCATAAAGCATCTTCCCCAATGTTTCTTGACCCAGTTTCTTGACCCAGTTTTCTAGAAAACCAGTTTTTCAGAAACTTCAAAAGAATAACCAAAACATTTTTAAATAAGATATAATAGTAGCGCGCACATTTCTGATTAAAATGAGACATTCCCCAGCTCTACATGACGTTTATTTGCAAAGTTAGAGAATTTACAAGAAAAGCCCTAAATGTTCATTGTCGGCTCAAAGCTACAGAAATAAGAAGAAATTAATTCAGGGCTTTTCTTGTAAATTCTCTAACTTTGCAAATAAACGTCATGTAGAGCTGGGGAATGTCTCATTCTAATCAGATATGTGCGCGCTACAATTATATCTTATTTAAAAATGTTTTGGTTATTCTTTTGAAGTTTCTGAAAAACTGGTTTTCTAGAAAACTGGGTCTTCAAGAAACATTAAGGAAAATGCTTTATGCCACTAGAAGCAGCTCGTCGAGCTCTGTCGATTGGGGCACCTCTCGTTAGCATCTGTGATTAACACTTGGGATAGTTCCCTCGTGAGCTGATTAGTGAATGCGCCTTTTGAGTTTTATTCGAATGATTGTCATTCTTCGGGAGAGGTAAAAGTAAGCGATGCTGGAAAAAAACTTCGATATTTTTCCAAGAGATAAGTGACCTTGAACTACGGGTCGCATTTGCATCAGATATGGACAAGCACCATATCCTGTTCTTCAGTGTGTCCTGTATTCTATCTCTTTTAAGTTTCCGTCCAATTTTAGAGTATTATGTTCAATGGAAAACGCTTTTGTTTTGGGTTCTTGCGTCATACTTATATTTTTTATAATAAAAAACAACACTGCTTTTATTGTTAAAAGCATGAGAAGCGTTCAGAAATACAGAGAAAGAAAGAGAACATGATCAATCAGCATTCGTTGCAGGTTCACATTTCTACACGCATTTCTGATAGTTAGTCTAGTCTCTGGGTCACATTTCTAAGCACTCACTTTTCACTTCAAAACTTTTACTCTTTCGTCTTTAGCTTCAGTTTCTAGTTCGTTGTTCTAGTCGAAGGAGCAAGGACATTTCATTAAATTAACTATTTTCATTAAATAGCTTACTTCGTGCAAGATATGTTCAAGATATTGAAGGACATCCTTATATATCATTACAGGTAATAATATAAAATTAAATTTTAGAATTATTTTTGCCTCTACGTTTTATTTTTTTCTCTTTTGAAAGGTTCCTCAAACAGTTATAAATAATCATGATCAATATAAAATTCAAGTATCATGGTTAACTGTACCAATCAATGGTAAACGATATTATATGCCGTATAGAATGTTAACTAAAGATAAATTCAATCGAAATGCAAAAGAAGAAAATCCAGTAATTATATCAATTAAACTTGACGATACGTTGTTATTCAATGAGAATATATTGAAGTAAGTCAAGCATACAAAAGCTAAAGACGATAAATGGAGTTAATATCAAGCGAAAAGGATTTACTAGATGTAATACTAAAGCAGCAAAATTAGGAGAAAATAACTGAAATGTATTAACAAAATGATTGTTGGTATTTTTTCGGTGAAATTTCTCTCATATAAAGTATGAAAACAAAAGACAAGTGTAACTTTATGCATAGGAGGATCCCCTAAATTTTTCAAAGAAATTTATCCCATCACTTTCCTCTCCCCAACGCGATAATAGGCGGTAGAACACGAGCGAATATTAGTAAAGTTACATAAACGGTGTCATACATCATCTTTCGCTCCTCCCAAGCATTATAGACGGGATAGACTATGGTCTTTGAAATGCCGCCGTACGTTACGTACGCTGGATATTTGGTCTCTTACTCTTAAGTTGACTGACATTCCCGAATGTGAAAACATAAACCGAGACGTTTTACATTTAGGTCATAGAGCATAAGCTAATAAGCTTTTTTCCTTTAGAATTTATTTAATTTTAATCAAATCGAAAATAAATGATATGATTCTTCCATTAAAAATATTTCCATCAATGGAATCAGGTATAAATTACAAATTTTTGAATTCTCTATCTATGTGGAAAAAAGTTGATTGCACTTTATATTTCTTCCATTATAGATTTTAATTATGATACATTATCCCCAAAACATTTAATTAAACATTTACAATTACATCAATCTGAACTAGCTTTTACATTATTATTCAAAAAGGATCAAGACACCTTACTAGCCGATTGGAATTCAACAGTTTATTCGAACATTATTTCGGGTAGAAGTAATATTCTTTTTATCAGTTATCGTACAGCTGATTAGCTTTGAGCATATCCTAACTCTCAAACATAAAGTAAACACTTATTTTCTATAGTTGACCTAAAAAGAATGCATCTTACAGACGTTCAGTTTTCAAATCATGGTATTTTCTTTCTTCATTTTGTTCAGCGGCACCAACTAGTCAAAAGCATTCGACGTTCAAACCAATAAGAACATTTAACAATCCAGCTTATAAACAAAAAATATTAACAGGTAAGGCGTCGCTAATTCATAGTTATGATAATACTGAATTTTATCAATATTTATACTTGGTTCGATGGAGGAGAGCGAGCTGAATCCTAAAATTACCTTTAAAGCCTTCCCAAACCTCCCCTTCGCGGTGAAAAAGCAAAAATATAGGAAGAACGACGATAGTTTTTTTCCGTTGTATGAAACATCAACACTTTGAAACATTTTTTTTCTGAATCAGCATTGCAAACTGCATATGAAAATGTGGTTTTGAAGTTTTCGCATATTACGAAGCCGGTGAGAAAAAATTCGTTTCCAAGGGAACTCAAAAATGTTGGTGAAAAATACTTCCGTGTACTATATGAACATCTTGAAATCCTTCAAGGGATTTTTGAATAAAAAACGCATTTTTCACTCAAATACATTCATATAGGTTAAAAACCATTGCGAATTACATGGCAATGGTTTCAGGATCTCTAAGAGGTTTCCAGAGGATCTCTGGAAAACTTTGTCAGCTAAAAACCCAAATT